TTCTTGAGAACTTTGAAACAGCTAAGAAGGTCCTCAGGGACAGCACCTGCGTGGTCGTTGTCGTAGTGCTTGCGTACTGAAGATGACGTGCTCTTATGGCTATCCACGCGGGCATATAAATGCCCACGTGTGTAACCAACATAGCTCCCTGTATCGCACAGGTTACATTTAAATTGGTACACTACGCACTGTTGATTAACCAGCTGTGGTTTGGTTTCGCATTCTTTAAGGTCTTCGGGATATTATATCGTTCGTTTTTACCTGTCTATGTATTTACCTGTCTATTTATTATTATCATTTTATTATTTATCTGGGTTAAATGTTTCTTGTGCTTGCATAATTTAATTCAAGTGAACTGATGTCTTTATTTGCTTGAGAATTTACCATTAAAATACATAACACAATGTGTTTGCTTACTGCAGGGAAGTTTGCTACAAGATAATTTCTCAACAGTTCAAATTCACTGTATCTTCTCCATATGGAGGATGACATATCGGGTTCTCCAGCAGGAGGCCCCCCATCAATGTACCTGATAACAAACACAAACAAATTTAATCAGTACATTTTAAAGAAGTCTACCAGTATGTGCGGGATGAAACCACTGAGTTGTAGTGATTCTTAATCTTGTGCAGGGGTTTCATTAATGTTTTCTGCAGGAGGACAACTGTTTTTCACAGGTGGGCAAAACTCTTTGAACTGAACTTCTTTATAAGATAAACTTTCCTCCAGATGGTCAAATCAGGTGGGCAAAGCCATCCTCACAACCGGTCAATTTGCCCGGTACCTGGCCCTTAATGAAACCCCTGCTTGTGCAGATCCCAAAATTGTCCCAACCACCATTTTATATCTGAGACCTAAATTCTACCATAATAGAGTCAAATGGCCCCCAAACCCAAAACGTACCTCAGTATTTTTCACCCCTCTCTAGTCCCAGTACTAAGAAAGAATTAATCTTTGGTTGTTACGGAATCCCATCAAGGAACAAACGCTTCTGAATCATAAACTTTGGTCAACTTCGTCATGACGATGGACAAGAGTCTGCGAAGACAACGTCCTATGATTCTCACGGGAGGAAAACTCAATGAATGCGTTTTCAGTCCAGATCCACTTAGAAATACCAATAAAAATAATTATACTTTTGGAGCTGGTACTTTCAAATAATGTTGACTCTTCTATTGAAATTATAGTACATCGACCCCAGTGCTGTGTCTTACAAAGGTGAAGCGAAATGATCAGCGATCAATCGCTCCTTTTTTTTCAAGAAATTTGATGATCATGATGACGCGTAACCGCGAAATAATAGTATACCCATACTAAAAAAGCGATGGACTCACTTGGTCTCTATGAGATAAACTGTGTACGGTTCCTTCAGAATATCAGTGAATCGTTTTTCTGAATCAATAATTGATATGATCATGGTATTTAACAGACTTCCTTCTGGAAAATATTGCACTTTTTTCTCCTCTTCTGTAAAATCCGCCATTTTGTTTTTGTTTCGTCCAACACATGCGTACTCGCGTGTCAGCGGTGAAAAATTAGAGAGCCAAGATGGCGGATAAACCGGATAAAAGTTCTGAGAAGAGCTTTTTGGCTCGTACGGCGAGCATTACCACAAAAAGAGCTAAGCGTGCCCAAGAAAAGGCAAGTTAATAGCATTTTATTTCAAACCTCGTTCTACTAGTATCTGAGAAGCTATAGTTATCCCTAGAGGATGTCAAAGGGTGGTGGTTTTGCCAATCGGAAGTGATCGCGTTGTAAGTTACTGCCATGCTTAAGTGTGTTTCTGGTATTTCTAGGTAATGCAAAAGCTTGGGAAAGCAAACGAGACAAAGGATCTTACATTTGATGAGTTTGTAATCAACTTCAATAAACAACAGGTAACGGGAGCCTCCACTGGTGTCAGAAGTAAATAACAATCGCAATTACATGCACGTGCGTATAAACAGATATCAAAAAAATACGGGCTTGTATACGCGTGTGTATTCTTAGTACAGAACTTTGCCTTCAGCTGCATGTTTCCCTCATTTATGTTTTTTATTCCAGTATGATGTGATGTGATTATAACAGGATTTGTTTTGATGAATATGGGAAGGCAAAAAACTCGAACAATTGACGGAACAAGTGATCAGCTTTTTCCTTTATATACACTGTAAATTGTATCTAAGTTAGATCCAAAATGGGAGAGAAGAACCAGGAGGGAGTTACCTACGATTGGTTTTTAGCACTCTTCAATACTACAAACTTATGATGTAGAGTTGTACAATCGACATTAACAAGCGAAGCTGTAGTTCAGCTTTGGGCTGATGTACATTGCACTAATATTTTGAGCTACATAATTATGCATATGAACTTGATCCAAAAAGACATGAAGGAATAAAGAGCTCGGCTTTGTGGGACAGATTTCTTTTTTTTAAATCAATACAGTTGGAAGGAGCCTTTTTCAATTAAATATTCGGACCACAACAACTTAATTAGTTGTGTTATTACCATACGATCAGCT